TGCTATGCTGATTCTAGCAGAACAGTACCTTTAGTTGCATTGTCTTGTACTTTCCATGAACCTAACTCCTATTACGACCGTTTATTAATGTATTTGAAAAGGTAATATAAAATATTGTAACTAATCTTAGCTACTTTCAAAACATATATAATTGTCTACAAAAAAAGTGAAAACTGAAAGCAAATCTTGGATGGAAAATTCTTTATAAACTGGGAGTTGTTTCAGGTTTCATTTATGTTAAAATGATTTTTTGTTGCATTTAAACAAAATATTAATTGAGTTGAATGCGTCGTTTCCTGTTGGTTTATTTACACCTACCGGGCATGTTTCTGACAATCAGCAAATGTAAGGTTTCATTAACGTGCCCTGCGGCTCTGGACTTTACTGTTGCAATTTTGATCACGCTACCAACCAAAAGCAATTGGTTTTGCCCGAGGTGGCCAATATAATACATGTTTTGTGTTGTGTTTCAACGTAGTTTATTAATAAATGTATTCATCTATTACATCTAAGTGTGTATAGTTTAAACTAAATAATTATTTACCGTGAAAACGTTTAGTTATAGTTTATATAAATATAATTTTTACCGTCGTAGATACTTCATATCATTGTTGACTTTGTGTAGTCGAAGTAGACCTTTATTTTATGCACAATCTGACGCATAATATCGTATGTAAATCATATTTAGTAATGTTTAAAGTGCGCAGATGTGGATATTTTCCTTCGCTTTATGATATCTTTTTCCGGTTTGTGCTATACTGTTTGGTTGTCTTATCATAGTACATAGTAGAGGACAAGCTATTGCTCAAAATTGAATTTCAATATTAAGAAAAGGTTAATATTTATACCCAGTAACGTTACTTTGGTGATTATTAGATTTATTTGACGTCGCCAAAGTATGTTACTAACATCATAACTGTCAAAATTGGTTTGTGAACGGGTTTTTAGACTATATATCAATTACAAGTCGATTCAGACCAACAGTGCACTGCCCAACTTTCGTTTTGTAGTGTACAACGAAGACAACAGTTTACAATGGAAATAAATACAAAAGTTTTTACTATGAAATTTAACTTATAGCTTCTAAGTTAGCCAAATTTAGATCATTAATATTAGATCTAAAATACGTTGGTGTAGGGCACAACTAAGTTAAAAAATTTCCAACTCAAATATCAACGTTAATATTACTTTTCTTCTTGTACTAAAAATGACAGTAGCTTTCACATAACCTTGGTTTATATAACATTAAAGTTTTCCATTAAGTAAGTAGAACAAAAACATTAAAAACAATTCTTATTGATATTAAAACACCAATGAAGTGTTAAATCTATTAGCAAAATTTACGAAGAAAATATTGTCATAGTTCGAATTTTACAACGGTTGCTTTCTCTTAGGTTCTTGATATCTGATAAAAGAGGGAAATCCCATACATGTCACTGCAGCCACAACCACACCAAGCCCCATCAGTCGCCAATCACACTATAACCACAATTATAATCAGCTATATTCGTGTAATCACACTGCGTGTATGTGAAACTGTGAAATAGACGTACAGGGTGTCCCAGAGCTTTCCACCAATAATTAACCCTGTATATATAAAACATATTGTAGTTTACGCAACGATCGCGTAAACATAGCCTTACGACTGAAGTAAACAGTTTAAGGCACTAGCCTTGGCAAGTGCCTTAATCACTTCTAAGAGTGTCATAAAATATAATTAGGCGAGTTGCTTACACTAATTTACCTTCAATAGTTTGTGAATAACGTTTGTTATACATCGTAACCTACAATCTTTCTGTATAGGACGATTTTCTCAGGGAATATTGTATACTGCTAGCAGTAGTCTTACTCTAAGTACTGTATCAGGTACAAAAATAGACAAATACTGAATATATTGGCACAGTTCACTTACAAAATTTAAATCAAAACAAACAAAATTAAAGTATCTCTTAACATATTATTATGCGCAGTGAAGGATAGTCAATAAAAGGACACATATAATTCTCTCGAAACGATTCTTTGAATAAGGTTGTAAAATATTATTACAAACTGTTTAAGTCCTTACTTTTATGTGGTTTATTTCAATATAACTAACTGCATGACATTTTCAAAACCCCAATCTGCAACAGTCTTAGCTAACAGGCTAGCAAATCATTTAGTTCAATTTTAGGGAAAGGAAAGAATGTGTGTGTTTCCAGCGGAAGACGACAGATCAACTATTGAATTGGTCATTATCAGCTGATAAGTTGAATCATGAATCATACAATTCCCCTTCTTTTCTCAATCCTTGAACCTTATTGGTACATCACACAGTTGTAAAGTAAAAAAATAATGTGGTAAAGCAAGTAAATAATGGATTAAAGAAAATCTTTTCAATTCTGATAACTAAATTGAAAAGGCAAGTTTAAAAAATGGTCACAGAGAACAATTTTTCTAAATTCTATTTGTTGTAATTATTTTTATAAATGGTTTTTCATATTAGTTAAAAAGTAATGGTTATTGATGATTAATATAGATTACAAGGTGTATGCAATTTAAAGGATTAGTTTGGTTGTTGTTTTAGTCTACTACTTTACGGGTGTATATTTTCATTTCTAATAACAATACAGCATCGTATTCTTGGCGAAAATGCATGAATCATGAAGTAGAATGACATTAATACATAGCAAAAAGCCTATCGTGCAATGTAACGAGATATTTAACTTGACAGGTTACAAAGAACTTTAACTTCAATCAGTGAAAAACCCCCTTTTAAAAGTTTTTTTTTCGATTTCATACACATTTGAGCGTATTTAAAATTAATATAGAAAACAGCAATATGTTTAAGGTGAATGCATATAATAGTGCAAAATACGGTATGAAAATGTTTATAATAAACCGGACCGTATGGATTTAAAAACAATGGGTGGCTGAAAACTAAACAAACAGATTGTAATTGAATCTTAGCCAGATGTTGGTTTTCCCAAACAACAATTATACTCATATTGATAAATGTTTTTAACCAAAGTTTAAAACCCTCTTTTATTGGTTTCCCATATTTATGCGTTTTTTACAATACGAAATACAAGCAATATACATTATTTTTAGATATTACAGTATTTAATTAAATATAAAAATGACATTGCATTACTATGTTAAAATTATCACTCCATTGAAAAAAAATTTATTAATAAAATTTACCAAAACACCTTTTAAAATATTTTCAAGAACTAAACAAGCAAAAACAGCTTTTAAATATACATTATTTTAATGACTGGAATAATTCCAATAATTAAAGGCATTTATATAAGGTCCACTCAAAGTGAGTTTGCACATAATGTTTATTTTACCCAGAAACTTTGTATACCATGTTTACCTACCATATTGGCATGTTTGTTAATTAATACTTTTCAATTACCAAAATAAATTTGCTAAATTATATTTAACGTTAAATAAATGATTAAATATAAAAAAATTATTGAAATAGTTTATTAAGATTGAACTGTCACTTACAGTCGATAAACAAAACCTTTTCGAAACATAATACAAAATATTATGGTCTATTTAAACATCTTCACAGTATGGTGCTATTTAAAAAAAATTTAACTCTGTATCCTAATAATAAAATCTTTTTTTAATCATAATTACCATAATTATTGATTTGAGATTGATTTGGGATTCATCAAGACTTCATTCTGATGTAATTTAGCCTCATTTAGCCTAATCTACTCAGCGCACTTTGTAGTGCGTCATCGGTATATCTGAGCGAACATCTTTATGTTGAGGCCAAATGTCAAATAGGGAGTTTCAGCTTAATAATATCCTACAATTGTCCCCACAAAATCATATTAAGGATTAAACCTACGATACTACATGATGTTCAATGGTTTTTGCAATGCCAAAGTGATTTCTTATGCTGAGATCCATAGACATTAGACGTATGCAGAATTGAAAAATATACTTAAATATTCTCTTACTATATACTGCATCAGTACTTAACATTCTTATTCTTTCAATATATATTTTTCTTATTCAGAATTTGTTTAAGACGATGATAAATGAATTACAAGACAGGGTACGAAACTACAAATTACAGTACTTCTTCAGACTGAGGTCAGACTTTTTGTTTTACAGACTCAGTTTTGCAGCAATTGTAGTGCTAATGAAACTTCTCCAGGCCATTCGCGTAGTTCAATGGAAATTCTGATTAACCTTTGTGGACATTTGCTTTAGAAGCACCATGTTTGCATTTCAGCAACTGCTACCCTCTATGTAGCTTGATAAGAGGTCCAAACTGAAACACAGACCTAATTATATGTACTACTTTCTAGAGACAATTTAACTACTCAAAAACAAAAATATAGAATAATTGTATAAATTTGAAATAAAAAAAATATTAAAATCCCTTTTTCCCTTTTTACCCTTTCCCTCCTTCCATCCCTTTTTCCCCTTTTCCCATTTTCCATCCCTTTTCCCTTTTTTCCCATCTTCTATCCCTTTTTACCCTTTTTCCCTCTTTCCATCTCTTTTTCCCTTTTTCCTATTTTCCATCCCTTTTTCCCTCCTTCCATCCCTTTTCCCCTTTTCCAATCTTCCATCCCTTTTCCCTTTTTCCCATTTCCATCCCTTTTTCCCTTTTCCCATTTTCAATCCCTTTTTCCCTTCTTACCCTTTTCCCTCCTTCCATCCCTTTTTCCCGTTTTCCCATTTTCCATTTTTTCCCCTTTTTTCCCTTCTTCCATCCCTTTTCCCTTTTTTCCCTCCTTCAATCCCGTTTCCCTTTTTCCCATTTTCCATCCCTTTTTACCCTTTTTCCCTTTTTCCATCCCTTTTCCCCGTTTTCCCATTTTCCATTTTTTTCCTTTTTTCCCATTTTACATTATTTCCCTTTTTCCCCTTCTTCCATCCCATTTCCCTTTTTCCCATTTTCCATCCCTTTTTACCCTTTTTCCCTACTTCCACCCCTTTTTCCCGTTTTCCCATCTTCCATCCCTTTTCCCTCCTTCCATACCTTTTTCCCATCATCCATCCCTTTTTCCCTCCTTTAATCCCTTTTTCCCATCATCCATCCCTTTTTCCCTTTTTTTTCCTCCTTCCATCCCTTTTTCCCATTTTCCATCCCTTTTCCCTTTTTCCCCATCTTCCATCCCTTTTTCCCATCTTTCATCCCTTTTCCCCTTTTTTCCCATCTTCCATCCCTTTTCCCTTTTTCCCATCTTCCATCCCTTTGTCCCGTCTTCCATCCCTTTTTGCCATTGTCCATCCCTTTTTTCCCTTTTTACCCATTTTCCATCCCTTTTTCCCATTTCCCATCCCTTTTTCCCTTTTTCCCATCTTCCATCCCTTTGTCCCGTCTGCCATCCCTTTTTTCCTTCCTTCCATCCCTTTTCCCCGTTTTCCCATTTTCCATTTTTTCCCTCCTTCCATCCCTTTTTCCCATTGTCCATCCCTTTTTTCCCTTTTCCCATTTTCCATCCCTTTGTCCCATCTTCCATCTCTTTTTCCCTTTTTTCCCCATCTTCAATCCCATTTCCCTTTTTCCCATCTTCCATCCCTTTGTCCCGTCTTGCATCCCTTTTTGCCATTGTCCATCCCTTTTTTCCCTTTTTTCCCATTTTTCATCCCTTTTTCCCATCTTCCATCCCTGTTTCCCTTTTTTCCCATCTTCCATCCCTTTTTCTCATCTTCCATCCCTTTTTCCCTTTTTCCATCCTTTTGTCCCATCTTCCATCCCTTTTTCCCTCCTTCCATCCCTTTTTCCCATCTTCCATCTCTTTTTCCCTTTTTTCCCATCTTCCATCCCTTTTCCCTTTTTTTCCCATCTTCCATCCCTTTTCCCGTTTTTTCCATCTTCCATCCCTTATTTCCCATCATCCATTCCTTTTTCCCTTCTTTTCCTATCTTCCATCCCTCTTTCCCTCCTCCAACCCTTTTTCCCATCTTCCATCTCTTTTCCCCATCTTCCATCCCTTTTTCCCTTTTTCCATCCCTTTTTCCCATCTTCCATTAATTTTTCCTTTTTTCCTTTTTTTCCCATCTTCCATCCCTTTTTTCCCTCCTTCCATCCCTTTTCCCTTTTTCCCATCTTTCATCCTCTTTTCCCATCTTCCATCCCTTTTCCCCTTTTTCCATTTTCCATCCCTTTTTCTCTTTTCCCCATTTCCCATCCCTTTTTCCCTTTTTCCTGTCTTCCATCCCTTTTTCCCTCCTTTTTTTCCCCTTTTTCCCATTGTACATCCCTTTTTCCCCTTTTTTCCCATTTTCCATCCCTTTGTCCCATCTTCCATCCCTTTTTTCCCTTTTTCCATCCTTTTGTCCCATCTTCCATCCCTTTTTTTCCCCTTTTTCCATCCCTTTTTCCCTCCTTCCATCCCTTTTTCCCATCTTTCATCTCTTTTTTCCTTTTTCCCATCTTCCATCCCTTTTCCCGTTTTTTCCATCTTCCATCCCTTATTTCCCATCATCCATTCCTTTTTCCCTTCTTTTCCTATCTTCCATCCCTCTTTCCCTCCTCCAACCCTTTTTCCCATCTTCCATCTCTTTTCCCCATCTTCCATCCCTTTTTCCCTTTTTCCATCCCTTTTTCCCATCTTCCATTAATTTTTCCTTTTTTCCCATCTTCCATCCCTTTTTCCCCTCCTTCCATCCCTTTTCCCTTTTTCCCATCTTTCATCCCTTATTTCCCATCATCCATCCCTTTTTCCCTCCTTCCATCCCTTTTCCCATCTTCCATCTCTTTTTCCCTTTTTTTCCATATTCCATCCCTTTTTTCCCTTTTTCCATCCTTTTGTCCCATCTTCCATTCCTTTTTTTCCCTTTTTCCATCCTTTTGTCCCATCTTCCATCCCTTTTTTTCCCTTTTTCCATCCCTTTTTCCCTCCTTCCATCCCTTTTTCCCATCTTCCATCTCTTTTTCCCTTTTTTCCCATCTTCCATCCCTTTTTCCCATCTTCCATCTCTTTTCCCTTTTTTCCCATTTTCCATCCCTTTTCCCTTTTTTCCCATCTTCCATCCCTTATTTCCCATCATCCATCCCTTTTCCCCTTTTTTCCCATGTTCCATCCCTTTGTCCCGTCTTCCATCCCTTTTTCTCCCTCCTTCCATCCCTTTTTCCCATTGTCCATCCCTTTTTTTCCCTTTTTCCATCCCTTTTTCCCATCTTCCATTAATTTTTCATTTTTCCTTTTTTTCCCATCTTCCATTCCTTTTCCCCTTTTTTTTCCCCGTCTTCCATTCCTTTTTTCCCTCCTTCCATCCCTTTTCCTTTTTTCCCATCTTTTATCCCTTATTTCCCATCATCCATCCCTTTTCCCCTTTTTTCCCATGTTCCATCCCTTTGTCCCGTCTTCCATCCCTTTTTTTCCCTCCTTCCATCCCTTTGTCCCGTCTTCCATCCCTTTTTTTCCCTCCTTCCATCCCTTTTTCCCATTGTCCATCCCTTTTTTTCCCTTTGTCCCATTTTCCATCCCTTTTGTCGCATCTTCCATCCATTTTTCCTTTTTTCCCATCCCTTTGTCCCATCTTCCATCTCTTTTTCCCTTTTTCCATCCCGTTTTCCTATTTTCAATTTTTTTTCTTCCATCTCTTTTTCCCTTTTTTCCCATCTTCCATCCCTTTTTCCCCATCTTCCATCCTTTTTTTCCCCATCTTCCATCCCTTTTCCCTTTTTTCCCATCTTCCATCCCTTATTTCCCATCATCTATCCCTTTTTCCCTTTTTTTCCCATCTTCCATCCCTTTGTCCCGTCTTCCATCCCTTTTTTCCCTCCTTCCATCCCGTTTTCCCCTCCTTCCATCCCTTTTTCCCATCTCCCATCCCTTTTTCCCATTTTCCATCCCTTTGTCCCATCTTCCATCTCTTTTTCCCCTTTTTCCCCATCTTCAATCCCGTTTTCCCTTTTTTCCCAATTTTCCATCCCTTTTCCCCCTCCCTTCATCCCTTTTTTCCATCTCCCATCCCTTTTCCCTTTTTCCCTTTCTTTTTCATGTTTCCTCCCTTTTTCCCATTTTCCATCCCTTTTTCCCATTTTCCATCTCTTTTTCCCCTTTTCCCCATCTTCCATCCCTTTTTCCCTCCTTCCATCCCTTTTCCTTTTTTCCCATTTTCCATCTTTTTTCCCTTTTTTTACCTCCTTCCATCCCTTTTCCCTTTTTCCCATCTTCCATCCCTTTTTCCCTTTTTTTCTTATTTTCCATCCCTTTGTCCGATCTTCCATCCCTTTTTCCCATCTTCCATCCCTTTTTCCGTCCCTTTTTCCCATCTTCCGTCTTTTTTTCCTTTTTTCCCTTTTTTTCCTCCTTCCATCCGTTTTCCCGTTTTTTCCATCTTCCATCCCTTATTTTCCATCATCCATTCCTTTTTCCCTTCTTTTCCTATCTTCCATCCCTCTTTCCCTCCTCCAACCCTTTTTCCCATCTTCCATCTCTTTTCCCCATCTTAAATCCCTTTTTCCCTTTTTCCATCCCTTTTCCCATCTTCCATTAATTTTTCCTTTTTTCCTTTTTTTCCCATCTTCCATCCCTTTTTTCCCTCCTTCCATCCCTTTTCCCTTTTTCCCATCTTTCATCCCTTATTTCCCATCATCCATCCCTTTTTCCCTCCTTCCATCCCTTTTTCCCATCTTCCATATCTTTTTCCTTTTTTTCCATATTCCATCCCTTTTTCCCTCCTTCCATCCCTTTTCCCTTTTTTCCCATTTTCCATCCCTTTGTCCCATTTTCCATCCCTTTTTCCCTTTTTCCATCCCTTTTTTCCATCTTCCATCCCTTTTCCCATCTTCCATCTCTTTTTCCCTTTTTCCCATTTTCCATCCCTTTTTACCCTTTTCCCCCTCTTTCCATCCCTTTTCCCTGTTTTCCCATTTTCCATCTTTTATTTCCCTTTTTCCCTCCTTCCATTCCTTTTTCCCATCTCTTTGTTTGGCATAAAGTCAGTGTGGTATTTCACAATACAGTACCTTGGTAGGATATAATTAAAAATTAATATTTCTATTATAGTTAGAAACGTATCACTAAGAAAATCTTTATCGTTTGATAAATTTAAAATTTATAAATTTATTCTATATCAATTCCATTACATATATGTACAATCATAAAATAAGCATTTAAAGTGCACTAAATTGATATTTAAATTCTACAAACGTGCCGTTAAACATAAAACATTTAAACTAATCGTCTGTTTTAGGAAACTTACTTTGAACAAAGATATTTACTACATCTTATTTATGAGCAAAGGTTAAAACTAAATTTCAAGCAAACATATGACAAATGCCATTTACAAACGTAATGAAGTAATAACCCATGTCAGTAACTACGAACTTGTCATAAAACTGTAAAGAGTGCTGGTAGAAATAGATCAGAGAACTTTTCCCTCTGAACACTTAACTTCGTAAAGATGTTTTGACGAATAAATTATGTGTTATCTTTTTCTCTTGCTTGGTTGAACCTTGTGTTGTTATATGAACCATTTCATTGGATATCGTCAGTTTATTACTTTAATCTTTCCAAAAATAATTTAATTTTATTAACTTAATTGGCTGAGGTTTTGCAAACTTGTTCCAATTTAAGTACACGTGGCTATACCTTACAAATCATTCAGCGGTTTAACATTTTGGTTCAGCAAAATGTAATTGTTGGAAGATAAAATGAAAGGGCAGGTGCTTTGTCTGTGCAAACTTAAACTCAACCTTTGAAAAAAACCATGTTTGAATTACCTTTGTTTGAAGAGCACTTGTATTCCCTAATATTACATAGTTTACCAGTGAAAATAGGTAAAGTAAATAATGATGCAATTTTATATCTTTTTTTACAACACAGAATTCATAAACCTTTTATGACATTCAATTACTTGTTTAGACTAGTTACTTAGAGTTCAAAATGAATATAATACTAGAGGTCGTCCAGTGGTCGAAAACTTGGCCAAAAATATGTAAGATTGTACAGACTTTTCTATTTTCACCCCAGGCTGTAACTAAAAAATGTGATTGGAATTTCATTCATTTGTTTTGATTTTCTGTTTATATGTCGTTGTTATTTCGTCACCCATAAGGGGTAGCCCATAAGGCCCATGTTATTTTTTTTTATTTTTTTTTTGCTATTTTCCCCCTATTTTAAATTATAAAGTGATTCTGCAGCTGCACATCAACAGGCCAATATCTGTTGGAAAGTACACGTAGATTTTCCCTGCGATGCACTAGAGTTGAGGAAAAAAGGTTTTCAAGAAACGTACTTGTCTATTAATACAAAGGTTAATAGAAAGTAAAAAATCTAATAACAACGATGACAAATTTAACATATTCTGAAATAAATCCAATGATTTTTCAAAGAATTACTACCTAAATAAAAACATATTATGTTAATAGTAAACTATAAAAGGTATCAAAAGATATTACACATATCTTGCTGGTTATTTCGGCAGGTTTGATGTCCTTTCAAGATTTACAACTTATCATCAGCTGTTTTGCCTCACAAGTGTATCTGAATATCCAAGCCAGCTCCCATTACATTATTGACAGATGTCACAGCTGAGACGTACGCCCAGAGAAATATTGGATATAAATATTCACATACATTACATAGACATACATAACATAGATTAGTGCAATATTATGATATGCAATAATATTTATCAATTCTTTACAGACAATTTAATTTTCCACGTGTATTTTTTTATACTTTATGATTAATTGTACAATAAACAACACGTAACTATTAAGTTGGTGTAAACAATGCCTTTCATGATTTTTTTTATAATCTTACGTATGATGTCTGTACGTACAAAAAAATAACACATATAAATACAAAAATAATCAGAATATAGTGTTAAATTAATATTACTCATCACCATTGTAATTAAAACTTACATATTATGTTAGTTATTCTTTAAACCGCCGTAATTCAATTAAAAGGCGAATCGAAAATAAAATAGTTTTTATTAATTAGGTTTGTCAATTAATTATAGTATTTATTTTTAGGTATATTTAATAATAAATAATATACCGTAAAACCTTTTAGATGGATAAGAATAATAGGTGTTATGAAAAAATACAACACAAGTGAGGCTACTGCTCACAACATAATTAGTTGTTGCAACAATGTTTTGTTCCGTTGCCCTGAGCACTCGTATCAATTAAATGAAGAATTAATTTTGGGTACGTTTCTTGTTATTTATTCAGTTTAGGTTATTTTGTAATTGGTTCTATAGTCTGTGGTTAAACATACTATTACATTAACACTAAATCAGAGATTCGTTTAAGTTAAAATTATATTTTCTTCGTTGTAATAGGCACGTGTATATTAAAGAAATAACTAAGGGTAGAAAAAATTAACCGTTACTACAGTCTTTATGGTAAAATTTTGGTTCAGTAACACAGCCCTTATTCATTTTAGGACTTCAAAATGCCACACATGTTTATTTATGTATGGATATTATTGGCACGTTATACTTAGCCTTATTAATAACCGTTATACTTATGGCTCACCTATTTTTTCATACAATTTGTCTCAAACTATAATTATAAGGTTTTAATATTCAGTAAGTTAATAAATTCAAAACGATGGTTTTGAGAGGTATTAAGAACTCAAAAACATTTGAGTTTCAAAAATAAATAATTAGAAACTTGTTGAAAAACTTAGTGTGCATACGGGGTAGCGGATTTTAATCCCTCTGGAATTTTACCCCCTGGGCGAAAGTGACGTCACAAACCAGGGGGTAAAATTCCGGCCGCGGCAGTTTCGCGGCATCAGTTCGATGGATTAAACGCGGAATTAAACGTATATTCTCACGGTTGTGAACTTAATCAGAACACATCAAATTATAAAAACCTAGAGTGTGCGGGCCGGAATTTTACCCCCGGACTTTTACCCCCTTCATGAAGTCAGCTCAAAAGGTACGGCCCGGATTTTTTCTCCCGGAATTTTACCCCCGGAATTTTAGCCCCCGGATTTTTACCCCTGGAATTTTACCCCCTGGCAAGATATATAAATTAGTGAGAACGGTTAATTATCTTCATTA